CGGCCCCGACCGGGCGGAGAGATCGGAAAGCCATATGCAAAGGCTCAGGAGTTCGGAACCCGATCTTTGGCACCGGAATGTTCCGGCCGGACAGAGGAAGCCCACCATGACTCAAGCGGCGTTTTTGACTTCCGATCTCAAGAGGTGAAGGCCTCGCGCCTTTTCTTCCTGGAAGGCCATTTTCCTTTGAGGCAACTGGCAGCCAAACAGAAATACTGGATTCGGGTGTTCCGCAAGTTGACGTGGTGCTCAGAGAATGCCCCAGAGAGTTAGGAATGAACCTCGGGTTCCCTTAAAGGAAACCACAAGGGATTGTTTAAGGGGTCGTTCCCTCATTCCCTGCTCAGCACTCAATGAGCCAGAAATTTGATGTGCGAGTCAAGAAATGAGCTGCCCCCTATGGAAGCCGATGTGAAGCTCCAGATAGTCCGATACCTTGCTGGTGCTCAGGGAATAAGGGAATGATCCCGAGAAAAACCATCCAACTGGTGGTTTCCTTTAAGGGAATCCCCTTCCGATTCATTCCCAAAAGCTGGTCTTGGTGATTCCGCACTGAGCAGCAGCAAGATGTGTAGCGGACATCATCTGCTGAATTTGTGACTTGTACCCCACGTCAACGCAGCTCCCAGTCGCTCAGAATGTGTTGGGAGCTAAGCAAAAAACAGAGGGCTACATGCGAAAATCGCTTCTGGTGCCAAGTTCCAAACGTCTTTGCTTGGCTTGCAGCAGACTTTCATGGACGGCTTTGTCGTTTTTAAGTTTCAACAGCCGGAGTTGCTGTTGGTAAGGGCCGTAGATATCTCATCCGTCTTATAGTATTCGGGCAAAGGGAGCCACGACGAAGGTCCGCACATTGCAACTTGCCCCTTTGAGGCGAGTGGCCTGGGTTGGCGACCTGAAGCCTTGCGTGTGTGCTTAAACCAACCCGCGTTGCCCGTCAGGCCGGTGGCAGATTCTAGCCCGGGCCTTGGGGATGTAGAGACGTTGGAGCCTTGCGATATCTTTGGGCCACCATGGCCACCTTCACAGAGGCTGCGGGAGAGTAGCTCTAGGAGTTGATTCCTGGTCCATTCTTTTCAACCATCTTTTTTTTTTTTAATGCGGTTCCGTTTCCCCTGGGTTTTTGCCGGTTTCTGCAAAGATTCGGATCTGTGGAAAAAATGGAATTGGAAGGTAGCAAGAGATACCCTCCCTCAGACCAACACGGAAGCTCCCAAAAAGGATTCTGTACATGGAGCCAAGTCTTCCGTTTCGGGGTCCGAACTCGGGAGCTTCCGGCGGTTCGTCTGAAGCCCCCAACCTGCGTTGCAACCGTTGCTCCCCTCGGCGCGACCGCAGGTGTGATCCAGAGGTACTGGCCGGATGCTCCCGTGCCCCAGCTGAAGGAGCTGAGGACGCCGCAGCCGCCGCCCAAACGCGAGGCCGAAACGGAGCCGCCTTGGGGCAAGGCATGTAAGGGTCAAATGTTAGAAAGAGAATACAATTAAGGGGCAACACTGACATATATGTATATATACATAATATATACATATATATATATATTATAAACAATATATACATATGTATATATATATATGTACTAGAATAGGGTTATGGGGTACTTTACAACCACATGTGTGGTTATATGGGTTGTATGGGTAAAGTGTCAGAAACGTGTTTTGCCCGTTACACTGCTTGATTTGCTTGGCACTTGTTGATACTTTGGCAGTGCTATTGACCAGTCTCTTAAGAACCATATAAGCCGGTTGACCAAATGGCATGCCTGGACAGGGCCTACCCCCAGCTCCCGACGGGCAAGGCAGGGATGCGGAAGGATGCGACAAAGTCTCGAGTGTACCAAAGGGGAAGAAGGCTCGTGACGTGTGGCAAATTGGCTTGGATACATGGTTGGCCATGGGTCAAAATCCAGAAACCCCAGTGAACATCCAATGGCACCATTGTTTTTTTCCCCCTGCAACAGTCATTGAAGCTGACATCAACCTCAACGATTGTAGGAGGTTCATGGCAGATGTGGACTGACTCATGGGGCAGAAGGCATTTTGTTGGCGACAGAGCCGCACCTTGTGATCGACTGCCCAACTTCTCCGTGCAAAAATCGATCTCCCGACTCTTCTTATTTCGCCCTGCAACAAAAATCAGGGGCATTCACTTGATACTTGTGGAACCCTTTCGGCCGGTTTCTCCGGTTCGGAGGGGGCCGGCCCATTGGAGAAACCAACTTGGGCGTGCCGAGGCCCCGAGCCGCAGCTTCCGGAGGGCGAGGAGTTGAAAGGGAAGGGGTGAAGCCATGATGGCCTCCAGGCGGTTCCATGAGGAACTAGGTCCCCCACTCGCGCCCTTTTGCAGTTTCTTTCTTGGGGGAGGGTTCCCCTACTAAAAGAGACTACAGAAAAAGGTTGGTACCAACTTATTCTAGCCTCTCTACTGGAGGACCTAGGGAAGCTTCCCGGACTTTGGCAGACTTGGTTGCATTTTCGGGATCGGCCAAGTCAAGAGAGCTTCCATGTTCGGGATAGCGAAATATATTCTTCACAAGTTCGCCTTGCCGCAACCCTTGACCCTCCATGAGGTCGCCTTGAAGCAGTTGAGTCGGGTGGCTTTCCCCGAGGAGATCAGCGACGGAGAGGCGAAGAGAATGCTCGAGGAGTTTCGTCAGAGCTTGGGCCTTATGTCTTCACTCGACTGACACGCTCCACGAAAAACAGAAGCCATATGTAGCTGTCCGTTCATCGAAACGACCCAGGTTGGAACAAAACTGGTTGGCAACACTCGCCGCTCTTTAAATTGCCATGCTGCAAAGGCCGCATGTCGCGAAATAATCTTGGCATGCAGTGTGTCGGAGGTGAGACCTGCCAGCAAATCCGGGACACCATCAGATCCGACCCGCAGGCTGGGAGAGAGACGACAAGAGCTGCTCGCCCACTGCCAGCTCCATTCTGCAGGTCAAGTGCCTTCCACTGAGTTGTTTCAGAAAAGGACGGCATACGATTCCGTGAATTTTGTGTTGAGGTGGTCAAAAAGTCTACATTCACATCACCAGCCCTTTCTGCGTAGCCGTTTGTCCCTCCCCAAAAAGTTGAGGCATGGAATGCTCCGATCCATTGGCTCGTCCCTTAGGAGTGGCTTCGGTGTTCCTTTTGGGCGTTCCTTGGAAACAACTGAGCAAACAATCGGGGTATGTCCTCAAGACAGCCAGGCCCAGCTTGTTCCCCATTCGTCTAGGGGTACCTTCCACTTCCATTCTTTCCAGGGATCCGTCTTTCTAAAAGACCTCCGGGCACCCAGAAAAAAACGGCCCCGGGTTTTTGGAGCGAACGATGGGGAATCAACCATTAGAACTCGGGCTCCCCCTTCCAGGAGCTGGAGTCCTTTTTGGAGGAGCTCACGAAGTCGAACCCGGAGCTGATCAAAGCCATCGCCAAGCACCAGACGGACGGGAGAAACGGAGCAAGGCTACTGTTCTGGGGGACACTTCCATTTCCATTCTTTACAGGGATCCGAATCTTTTCAGAAAACCATCAGAACCTCAGGGGAAACAGCCATTGGTTTTTGAAAAGAAGGATGGTTGAAGAGAATGGCGAATCAGCCCCTAGAACTGTGGATGGTTGCGAAATCAAACCCTAGAAAGGATGATTCCCCCGCAAGCACAAGTGTTGGTGTTTTTGGGGTTCTACTGTGGATGGTTGCGAAATCCATTTCGCACCACCTAAGAAACCCTAGAATGATTCGATTCCCCTGTAAATGCCAACAAGCAATGGTTCCCCATGGTGTCAATCTGGTGCAGGATGTGGTCCATCCACAGCATGAAACTTGATGGCTGTTTGGTAGCGAATCTTTGGACTTTAACTTTTTTGGTTGATGCAGTGTTTGTTTTTGTTGCCTTTATTGGACCCACACAAACTGCTGTTTTTTTGGACCCACAGCAAATGTGACTTTTGGCAGAGGGTCATTTCAACCAAGGAAGTGTCGCCATACGTTGCATGCTTCTGTATGGGTGCGTGTTTTTTGCTCACTGGACTCACGCGAGGAGTCAATGATTTTGTCACCAAAAGCACGTCCACATGAGGCTACTTTGGCTTCTAGCAACTTCCCCTCCAACACTTGACACTGTCCAGGACTTCCTGCGGATACTTACGACCGGCTTTACGATCAAGGCGTGCGAGAAGGATATCAATGAACTGGGCTTTGCGGATCATGGGCGATATTAACGTGGGCTCGTTTCTTTTTGTTCTGTGAACAAGCTTCCTTGAGTTCCTGACCAGGGAATCGTCCCATCTCGTTTCCTCCAATTGTAGCACCCAAAGGCTGCTGGGGCTTTCAGTGGAAGACCAAGACCCCTCCATTGGAAACCCTTGGGTGTTTGGGGTGTCAAAACCTCGTTTGACGGGCCTAAATACATCGGGAGCCTTTGGATTGGTGTGGTGAAGGGGAGGGGTCCCATTTTTTTCTCTACAAAAGCCAGGGGCCTCCTTCAAATCCCGAACCACCAATCCAAAGCACCAAGTGAGCCACTTGCTCAACCGATTCGGGTAAATGAAGGTCAGGGACAATCCCAGCCAGAAGCAGAAGCATGGCTCTGGGTCAACCATTTGAATTACCGAGTCTTGATTGGGTGGTGTGGTTGAGGGGAGGGTTCCTACTTACCCTCTACAAAAGCCAAGAATCCCTCAAAATCCCAAACCAACAATCCAAACCAAAACAACAATCCAAATCAAACCAACTAGGGTGAGCCGCGAGCGTATCCGCGAAACCCGCAGGCCAAAGCTGAGCCTGATGAGCTGGTGGAGGAGGCGGAGGCTGCCTGCTCTCCACGCAGAGATTGCCCATCGTGGGTTTTTGGTTCAGGTTGAATTCAAGTGGAATGCTAGAAGGTTCCCGTTTTCTCTAGAAGGCACCTTCTAGGGTTCACTTGGGTTTTGTTTGTTCAAGTGAAATCTGAATTATGGAAACGCCAGGAACAACGGAGCAAGAAAGAAGGCCCAACACCTAGCAGCAGCTCGCCTCAGCCACAAGCAGCTTGGCCCTGTACAGCGAAACACCCTACCAAACCGAGAACCTTGGCTTGGACGAAGCTGAGATCAAGCTGGCTTCAAACATGCTGGAGATGTTATCTTACTCGGCCCCCCAGTAGTGCCCTTTTATCCTTTTTTGGGGGAAGGTTCCCTTACTAAAGTAGCCCACAGAAAAAAAGGGTACCCTTATTCTAACCTCTCTGCTGGAGGACCTAGCTTAGCCGTACTTTTGCAAAACCAGGCCGGCCACCTCACGGCCATCCCGAAAGCTGGCAGAAGCTCATCGGAGCCCTGATGAATCGAACAGCATCGTCCTCTAGTTCGGATGGGGTTGCTGGAAACGGGCCGCAAATGTCTTCTTTGCCATAGGTTTCCAAGAATACGCTGCAAAGGGTCGCGCAGGTTCAATTGCGGCAGGGGTCGTTCCATTTCTCCTTCCCTGCCTATCGCACCAGCAAAATGCATTGCAGGTTTTACCACCACCACCACCACCTGCTGTGGTGGCCAGCCAGCGTAAGGCTCGACGAGAGGCCGGGACTCCCGGTCCATGCCTAGGGCTGTAGCTGATTGAATCGGCGGACCCCGTTTGCAAGGCTCTTTTTCCCGCTGATCATCTCGGGCGTGTTCAATTTTCGGAGGGTACCCGCTTGTTTGCGGTTCTAAGGGGAACCTAGAAGGGTATGGGTCAAAAATAGACCACTACAGGACCGCAAGTTGTAGTCCATGTTTCCATTTACAAGGGTTCCATTTACCCACAGCCAAAAGGAAAGCCGCCATTTTGGCGGGTCCCAAGCCAAAAAGGACAAGACATACCCATTGGACACGGGCACAGGGGATCGATCGCTGAGGCCAAGGCTGCCCGTCAAGCAAATGGCCCCAGAGAGTGTCAGACTGCGCCAAATGTTTGCAAGGGAGCGCCAGGTGTGTCTTTGCGGTACCCATTTTTGCTGGCTTTGAAGGGGAAACCAGGAAACCCGAAGCCATTTTGCGGGGGGTCCCCGATAGGAAAGGACAGACCCGTTGCTGTAGGTGTCAAGGGGTGGCACCGAATCGAGTGCCCTAAGAGTTGTTTGATGACTCTGCTAGTCGGATTCATTTGGTGTTTTACATACTTGTACGCGGCAGTGACGATGACGTTTTGTTTTTTGGCTTATACCTGATAGGCGCGATCTTTAAAAACATAGGGTTGTTTTCCTCAGCTTTTTGATACCCTCCCACCAATCAACATGGAACCTGACAAAGGCCCGGTTGGTCCAAACCTCGAAACCACGTTAATTGGTGGGGTTCCTCACCCGGCTAGTTGGATCGACGGAGTTGCTGTGAGGGCTTGACAGCTGCTCGCAGCTCCTTTGAGCCCCTTGAGGCAACAGCTCGCCGAGAAAAAAAAGGTGTTGTTTGAAATGGAAGCCAAAAGGAAAGCCATTTCTTGTTTTGGTTTCGGGGGGGCTGAAGAAGACACCCACATGAAAGCGGCGGGTTTGGTTTCGGGGCACAGTAAAGAAGCGACGACAAGAGATGGCACAGCATTCACTCGCCCGACAAGATGGTTGGGAGACCGCACGAAGCTTGTGACCTCGTGGGCAAGAATAAGGCTTTCACATTGCTGGGACGGACCATGGGACATTGGCTTGCCTCAGACCCCGTTTGCCTTTGCGCAGTCTGCTTGCTTTTCTTCGTAGCTACGTGCACCGTGTCCATTCGGTTTTGCCCCTTAAATCCTGCTTGCTACTTCTATGGCTCTGTCTAAGGGGAAACCAACCATGGCCCAGGCGCGGAATGCGATGCAGCCTTTGTCGTCCACCTGTCACACCTTGGCACTGCGCCCGGATGTCTCGGGCATGGAAGGAGTACACAGTGACCCCTGAAGCAAGCGCTACGGATACCCAACATATTGCAAGTACACCCACCACACTTTACGCCAAACCCATGGCAAATTGAGGTAAATTGGGGGTTGCCCCCTCCCTGGTGTCAAAAGCGATGCTCGGGGTGTCAATACGATGGCTAGGTAGCGTTTTTCAGGTGCTGGTGTAAATATGATGCTGTAAAATGGAATCGGACTTGCGGAGTTGAACAATCCAAAATCAAGTCTTTGTTTTTAGAGCAAACCAATCCCGGATGAGAACTTCACCCCAAATCAGTTGCCACCGCACTGGGTCAAACATAATTTTCCAGATCCTCTTGCTGGTTGCCATTGCGAGGCTTCTGCCCACAGCCCCTACAGCTGTGCTGTGTGCAAGGAGCGTCGTGAGTCGTTTCTCGTTTTGAAGCTGGTTGCTTCTCCCGTTTTTTTGGGGTGGGGGTTGAGCTGAGAATTTGAGGCAGGAAAAAAACGCCCCTTGCACGCCTCTTAGCCGCTTAGCCTCTTGACTCCAGGGTTGGAATGAGGGGTACTGTGACACCAGGGAACCTCCCCTTTTATTTCGAAGGCCAATTGGTATCACAGAGGTGGCCGGCAATTCCCAGAATTATGATGTGGCGCCTCTCTAACTCTGGAGACAAAAGACGCTGCCAAGCTAAGAGTTGTTGCCGGGCAACCCATGCTAGTCAGACTTTGTCGGGACTTCTTGGCCTCTTGGCAGGAACGGGGCTACGGCTTCTCTTCGTGTTTTTTTAGTCTCGCCCTGGCGCAGTCCTTGGAAGACCTGTCGCTGTGCAGCGCCTGCCAATGCGTACGCTTCTGCTCGAAAGAGCACCAGAGGGCCTTTTGGCCCAGGCGCGGCTCCGATGCCTCGATGTCTCGCGAGCGAGAGGGGGGGGGGTGGAAGTGCTTGCACCCTTGGAGCTCGGACGCGCGCCCGGAAAGCGCCCGGGACATCGGATGTTGCGGGTCGCTGGGAGCCGAGCCGACGAGCCGACGAGCCGACGGCGTGATGCCAGGCATCAGTCAGTTTGCAAGTTCCTTGCTTCCATCAAGGGTGGCTTGTTGCAGCAGGCCGGGCAAAAAATGTGCAGGGCAGAGCGTGAAGTGGGCATGGGTCTTATTTTCCCCACTGTATATTGATGTGCGAGCCTAAAGGAAGTCTCTTGGCTTTCGGCTTTCGGCTTTCGGCTTTCGGCTTTCGGCTTTCGCAAGACTTTGCTTCTGGCAAGGCTGCAGGCCGGCGATGGATGCAGGACTTCCTTCCAGAGCTCATGGGTGTTTGGACCCGGACCAGGCGGCCACGAGATCGGTTCCGTGGGGCTAGAAACAGGTCACGCCGTCAGGGGCGATCCCTGCCACATGTTTGACTCTAGCCGGGGCCAGCGGCTTTTGACGCTAGCCGGGGCCATCAAAAAACTGCAGGGCCCTTGGCCATAGGTGGTCCTTTTTGGTGGTCTTGGTCGAATAGATGGCGATTCCTGGTATTTCCCTGGTTAATCATCTACCAGGGACATCTATTTCCCCGAAAAGGACGCCTATGGCCAGAACTATGGAAGAGCATGTCTGTGAATTGAATCCACCGAAAACCCACACCCCGTACTCCTTGAGCGTCGTCTCTCAAAGCAGACGGCTCTTCGCTTAGCCACCACTGAGCCGAGATTCGGCTCCCCTTCTGACCCAACGAGGCGTTTTGGCCTGCCTCAGTTCTCGCCAAGACTTACCCTCCCTCCAACAAGCATGGAAGCTGACAGGAGCGTGTTGGAAGACAGTTTTCCTCTTGGGGAAGCCTCGTGTCCACTTCCATGATTGTTGGAGGGAGGATAAACGGACCGAGAGAGACATAGGATTCTCATAGGATCAGTGAAAGTCTTGTTGACATGAGCTGCATATGAGCCACAATCAAAACCCGTGTAAGTGAAGGTTCGTAAGGGACCATCCCAGCCATAAATAGCTGCGGATCTCCGCCTGCTTAGTTCTTGAAGCATGGTTCTGGCATTACGACCATTTTTGTACCGGGCTTTGATGAGCTGCACATGGACACATTTCCATGCGAGTCGCCTCCAGCCGTCATTGCCACTTCAGTCCACTTCATTCGCAGGGGCACGGCGCCGCAGCCATGGGAACTGGAGCAGTTGGTGCACATCCCGCACTGCGGAAACTGTGGGAAGGCTGGGAATGCGAACCGGAGCTCCTGAAGCAACAGGGTCCTTCGAGGTAAAAATGCGAACGCCAGGGGATCCTGGTGTCTTGGAGCATTCTTGCAAGTCTTTCATCCCACTCAGGGAGGCCAAAGGGAAGCGGAAAACGCAGCATGTCAATGGGCAAGTCCACGGCGACTGAGTTGCATGACGAAGCCCATGCTTGGTGATGCGTGTTCACCTTCCTAGATTCGGCCGCCTTGATGGCTCGCAGCCTGCTTGGTCCATGGCTCATACTTGACGTGAAAAATCAGTCGGCATGTCAGGCTCTCGGCTTTTCGGTTGCCTGTGCCATTTTTGTCCTCAGGCGCCTGCCACCGTGGTCTGCAAAATCTGCCATTTCTATGGCTATTGCTCAGAGGCAGGGGCATGGTAACATGATGCATGGCGTTTAGTTTGAAGTGGTTCTCAGCGTTTGCATGCGGGGTTCAATTACCTTTCACGATCCACTGGATAGGGATCATGGAAGGAATGTGCTGGATCTCCAATAATAACATGTATATATAGTATCGGGCTAGCACTTAGAATATATTTTACTCCGTCCGATCCTCACTTAGAATATATTTCACTCCGAAAATATCCCAAAACATCAGTTAGAATATTTAGGTTCACAAGTGACACTTAGAATAATTCAGATAGCATACACTTAGAATAATTCAGATAGAATATGTTTTGACAGACATAATATTTCACAGAATATTTCAGCAAGCTGGGTCACAAGGCAATTTCACACACCAATTGATGGCGTCGAAACGTTTGATGGCATCGAGCCGCGCAGATGCATGGGGTCAAGGAAGAAGAAGTGAATCATAAAAGCAGATGGTGATGTCTCAGATGTCCATGAAGCATTGCTAGTGAGAAATGAGCTTAGAGGGGGGGAAGCTCGAACGCTTTCACGAAAAGCTCAAAGGTAGAAACTTTGGAGTTGCACGCGGGCGGTAAAATCAGGTCCTCCGAGCCAGGACTAATTTTAGCATTGCCGGTACTTAATTGTGCATTGCCAGTACTAGTTTGAGAATAGTACTCATGTATATTGTCAGTACTAATTTTAGCATTGCCAATAGTAAATTTAGTATTGGCAGGACATTCTTGCTATTGCCGGTACTGAATTTAGCATTGCCAATATAGACTTTGGATTGCCAATGCTAAGCCTAGTAAAGTTTAGCAAGGATTTGAACTGTAAAATTCTTTATTTAAAAACGTATCCTGGAAGGATTTTTGGCTACGAGAAGAGGGGGTAGCTTTGCCGCAATAGTCAATTTAGTATTGCCAGTACTAACTTTAGTATTGCCAATAGTAAATTTAGTATTTTTATCAGATAGAATAATTCGGCAAGGGCCGTAGATTTTCAAAATAAACCTGTTCTGATAACACACTTCTCGACTTGCGTTGAACAGCCAGGACTAAACTTAGTATTGCCAATACCTCCTTTCAAAGGTCATTTTCCAGACCTCGCAGCCTTTGTATCTGACACAGATTATTCTATTTGTCTGTTCCACTTCCAAGGATTTGCACAGGCATGTCAAGATTTGGGATTACTCGAACTGTCTCATTTATTCATATGTGGTCTCGGTACTGTTTGGGGTTGGGTTAAAAGGAAAGGAATGCCACCCCGTGTTGGGACATAGTGGGGTACCCTCAAAAACTAAGCAAACACATATTTACTTTCTCTATATATAATATGTATATGTTTATATATTTGCATACGATTGAATGCATGATGAAGGTTTCCTGGCCCAAACACACATATTCTAGCTGTGCCACCCCATGGTGTTCATTTGTATTTTGGGCTCGGTACCGTTTGGGGTTGGGTCAAAGGGAAAGGAAGGCCACCCCTTGTTGGAGTGTACTGAAGTGCCCTTAAAAAATAAGCCATCCAATGCTTGCTATCTCTCTCTGTTATATATATATATATTAAAGTGTGGCCTGATGAAGGTTTTCCGGCACTATTCTATCTGTGCCTCCCCATGGTGTTTATGTATAGCTTCGGCTCGGTATCGTTTGGGGTTGGGCTAAAGGGAAAGGAAGGCCACGCTTTTGGACCCTCAAAGAATAACCAAATCAATATTTACTATCTCTATATCTTTCATTATGCCTACGATTCATCACCTGATGAAGTTTTGCCAAAACACATATTCAACTGTGCCACCCCATGGTGTTCATTTGTATTTTGGGCTCGGTACCGTTTGGGGTTGGGTCAAAGGGAAAGGAAGGCCACCCCTTGTTGGAGTGTACTGAAGTGCCCTTAAAAAATAAGCCATCCAATGCTTGCTATCTCTCTCTGATATATATATATATGTGTATTAAAGTGTGGCCTGATGAAGGTTTTCCGCCTCTATCTGTGCCTCCCCATGGTGTTTATGTATAGCTTCGGCTCGGTATCGTTTGGGGTTGGGCTAAAGGGAAAGGAAGGCCACGCTTTTGGACCCTCAAAGAATAACCAAATCAATATTTACTATCTCTATATCTTTCATTATGCCTACGATTCATCACCTGATGAAGTTTTGCCAAAAACAAATATTCTAACAGTGCCACCCCATGGTGTTCATTTGTATTTTGGGCTCGGTACCGTTTGGGGTTGGGCTAAAGGGAAAGGAAGGCCACGCTTTGGACCCTCAAAGATCAAAGAATAAACAAAACAATATTTACTATCTCTATATCTTTCATTATGCCTACGATTCATCACCTGATGAAGTTTTGCCAAAAACAATATTCTAACTGTGCCACCCCATGGTGTTCATTTGTATTTTGGGCTCGGTACCGTTTGGGGTTGGGCTAAAGGGAAAGGAAGGCCACGCTTTTGGACCCTCAAAGAATAAGCAAAACAATATTTACTATCTCTATATCTTTCATTATGCCTACGATTCATCACCTGATGAAGTTTTGCCAAACACACATATTCTAACTGTGCCACCCCATGGTGTTCATGCATATTTTGGGCTCGGTACCGTTTGGGGTTGGGTCAAAGGGAAAGGAAGGCCACCCCTTGTTGGAGTGTACTGAAGTGCCCTTAAAAAATAAGCCATCCAATGCTTGCTATCTCTCTCTCTGTTATATATATATATATTAAAGTGTGGCCTGATGAAGGTTTTCCGCAACTATTCTATCTGTGCCTCCCCATGGTGTTTATGTATAGCTTCGGCTCGGTATCGTTTGGGGTTGGGCTAAAGGGAAAGGAAGGCCACGCTTTTGGACCCTCAAAGAATAACCAAATCAATATTTACTATCTCTATATCTTTCATTATGCCTACGATTCATCACCTGATGAAGTTTTGCCAAAAACGTGTTCATGCATATTTTGGGCTCGGTGCCGTTTGTGGTTGGGTTAAAGGGAAAGGAAGGCCACCCCTTGTTGGAATATACTGGGGTACCCTCGAAGAATAAGCAATCCAATATTTACTATCTCTATATTTAGTAATTTATGCATACGATGAATCACCTGATGAAGTTTTGCAAAAGCAAATATTCTATGTGCCCCCCCCCCAAAAGGTGTTCATGAATATTTTGGGCTCGGTACCGTTTGAGTCTCTGGAGAATTTGCTGTATATGAAATATTCTATCTGTTTGTGGGAGAGGGGCATGGCCCGTCGGGCTGAGCATTTGAGCTCCGAAAAAAGGAGAAGCCATGCATTCCTCTGGTAAATGCGTGTGTCTTTCTTAGGGGGACCCCTCAAAACGGTTGGTTTCCGTTTGGTTTTGCATATACCCTTGAAAGAGAGACGGACCCAAATGGAAAATCATGGGACCCACAGCCACATGGTTTGCTGACAGCCGTACATAGAAACATCTAGCAACAGGCTAGCAGCTAGGACATTTATCGCAGAGTAGTTGTTCATAGCAGAAACCCTTATTTTGAAATATTCTATCTGTCTGTGGGAGAGGGGCATGGCCCGTCGGGCTGAGCATTTGAGCTCCGAAAAAATGGAGAAGCCATGCATTATGCATTCCTTTGGCAAATGCGTGTGTCTTTCTTTGAGGGGACCCCTCAAATCGGTTGGTTTCCGTTTGGTTTTGCATATACCCTTGAAAGAGAGACGGACCCAAATGGAAAATCATGGGACCCACATGGTTTGCTGAAAGCCGCATATATATAAACATCTAGCAACGGGCTAGCAGCTAGGACATTTATCGCAGAGTAGTTGTTCATAGCAGAAACCCCTATTTTGAAATATTCTATCTGTTGTTTTCTTATTTTGAAATATTCTATCTGTTGTCTTCTTTTTGGTTGAAATATTATATCTTCAATTTCTTGTTTATTCTAACTGACTTTTTTCCTATTTATTCTAACTCATTTTTTTGATAGACTTTTGAAATGTGCATTTTCATTTACTCTAAAAAATATATTCTAACTGCTAGCCCGATACTATACATATACATGCAGACATATATATATATATATACATATATACATATATATATATATATATATATGAATGCCAATGTATGGCCCCCCCCCCCCGCTCAGGATCCACGTTTGGGGCTGCCATGGGCAACCACATGTTTATTTATTTTTTTAAATATCATGTTTGGCGCCGAAGGTTCTGGCTAATTTAGTGAGAGGTCCCAATCTGTTTTTACTTCTTGCACTTCAAGCGATTGGGCCGTCTCAGTATTTTGGAGCGTGGAAAGCCCAAAATGCTGAGAGGTCCCACTATGTTTGCTTCAAGGCAGAAAGGGCTGCAAGGTTTCTAAACCACTAAACAACCACTTTTGTATAGGTCTTCAGCTTCAACCACTCCAAGACTTCAAAGGATGTTGTTTTTAGGCTGTTCAGGGACCTCGCAGCACTTTCTGCCTTTGACACCAAACAGATTGGGACCCCTCGGCGTTTTGGATTTTGAACAACTCCAAATGCCGAGAGGCCTCCAAAACCCGCTCTAATCACCAAGTTCTTCCTGCAATAGATCACTCGTTTTCAAGATCCACCTCAGAAAAATCTGCCTAACAAATCCAGCGCCAATTTGCTTCAACATTTCAACCCATCAGTAAGCTTCATCTTCAGCTACATCTGTTTGCCAACTCCAAAACTATTTGCAATGGATCGTTCCAATACAGAATCCTCCAGAAGATGCCTTTGCAAAAAATCGTTCCTGGATAAAGCCAGCTGGGAAGTGCAACATCTTGCATGTTCACAACCTCGGTGTGGATCACTGGGGGGCCGGGGCGGTGGCCACATATACATGCTACATACGTATTATATACATATACATATGTACATATATGTATATATGGTTCTACCCCGAAGTGGATCCACCTTTGTCCTCGTTCTAAGCTGGAGGCTTGATCAGATATGCATATTGAGGTGTTACAAGTGCATGTTGCAGTGCCGCCACTTTCGCCTCCATTTGCCAATTGGCCGAGATCGGATAGCTCGCTGGAGGATTCTGGACATATGCGGTGGGCTTCCGTTCCATGGTTCTGAACTTGGACATGCTGTGGATAAACGAAATCCATCTCGCACCGACCAAGGAACCCTGGGTTGTGATGATTCCCCTGCAACTACCCTACAAACCATGGTTGCAACCCTGGTTTCAAAGTGGTGCGAGTTCGGAGGTCGCTACCATCCCCCGCATTTCCCTCGAAACAAAACCGCAAACAGATTCGTGCGAACTGGATTCCGTCCATCCGCCGTATTTCCCTTGGGAGAGGTGGGGGGTGGGTTTGGGGAAACCCAAAAAACGGGTTGGTTTCTCCGTACCGCCAGGCCTGCCTGGAAGCGCAGAAGAGTCATAGGAACAGCTGGCAGTGCTTCCAGGCGCGGAAGCCGCTCTCTTGCGACCCATTCGGGTTCAGGTGAGCCACTTGCTCAAAACCGATTCGGGTAGATGAAGGTTGATAAGGGGCAGTCCCAGACAGTAATAGTTGCGGATATCCGCCTTCTCAATTCTTGGGTAGACCATGTTCATACCGGGTTTTGATTGTGACTCAGGTGAGGGTTGATAAGCCTATATGGCTGTGGCTCAAGAAGATGGATAAGCGCAAAATGGCCCCAAGGTAAATGGAAACAAAGACCAATTCGGGTTCAGGTGAAGGTTAAGAAGCCCATACTGTGGATGGACGAGATCCGTTCGCTCCACTTTGAAACCAGGGTTGAAACCAATGTTTGTTGGTAATTTCAGGGGAATCATCGTTCCAGGTTTTCTTTTTGGTGCAGGATTTCGTCCATCCACAGTGGCTGTGGCAGAAGATGGAAAAGCCCAAAATGGCCCCTAGGTGAATGGACACAATGACCAAGCCCTGCGTAAGCCTAGCTCTTAAGTTTTGAGCCACACCCATATTCATCAACCAACCAGTTTAGATAATAGGGGGTCGTTTTCCCTGGGTGAAATATGGGGAATGACTTTCGATGGGGCCCCCACCCCCCTATTAAACTGGGGTTGATTAGTATTAATATGGGGTCAACATTGAGGACAAGCCCAACCATAAAGGGATTTCTCTCAAAGGTCGTCCTCCTTTTCGTTCCCCTGGAAACCTGACTTGCTCAAAATCCAGGTAAGTGAAGGGTAGTAAGGGATGCCGCAATTGGGTGCGGATATCCGACTTTCGAATTCTTTACATGGTGGGTTGAACACTTTAGTACCAGGTTTGGATTATGACTTTTAGTGATGCTCATAGGTAGTAACCCGAGTTTGGTAGCCCGATCGAGCACGAAGGTGCTCACCCAAGTTTGGGTCCGCAGCCTCTATGTCCTAGCCAACCGTTCTCCTTGACGAGGAACATTTCCCTTTGCCTTGAATTGCTCGGCAAAGATGTCGACACTGAGACGGCGGGCGTTGCAGAGGTAAACAAAGAAGCCAAAGAACCGTCAACAAAGGGCGTATTTAAAATGTTGAGAGGCCGCGGCCCCTTGTTTTCAGTTTACCAGGAAGAGACTTGGAAAGCTGAAGAAACCAAAGGACTGCGCATGCAAATCTCGGTGGTGACCTTCTTGGCGCCAGGTGGGTGCCACTGCTGTGGTGATGTCCTTCTTGCAAAAGGCGCATGCGCAGGGGTGGGTCATTCGGAAGCTAAATCCGTCCTGGTTGGTTTTGAGTCAGGTAGACCAAAGGGAAGAAATCATTCTGGAGAAGCGTTGCCTTGAGCAGTACCTTCCATATTAGAAGTTAAGTCCGTCCTTAATGGTTTTTGGTTTTTCAGGTAGACAAAAGGGAAGAAACGGACAGGGACTTGCTGAAAAACTGGGCTCGAAGGTAAGCCGTCCATATGGCGACGAGGTGTTGCAATTCACACAGGCTCAACTTTTGATGAGTGGTTTCGTGTTTGTTTGTTTTGGCGTTTACTTGCTTGCTTGCTTGCTGCTTGCTTGCTTGCTTGCTTGCTTGCTTTCTTTTGCTTGCTTGCTTGCTTGCTTGCTTGCTTGCTTGCTTGCTTGCTTGCTTGCTTGCTTGCTTGCTTGCTTGCTTGCTTGCTTTTGCTTGCTTGTTTGCTTGATTGCTTGCTTGCTTGCTTGTTTGCTTGCTTGCTTGCTTGCTTGCTTGCTGGTTTGTTTGTGGGTCTTGGCTACCAGAGATAAGAGGCAAGCGTTGGGCCAGTGAGCCTTCTGCCTGGTGCTTCTGATACCACAGTCGCCTCGCAATAGTTGGTGGTAGCGCCTGCGTTTCGAGCCATCTCCTGTTGGGTGTAGAAATGGAATGTACCCCTACCGCTCATTTTCTATGGCTTCCTTCATTCGCAAACCGGAAAGTCTCGCAAAGTCTCGGACCCTGCCTAGCGCAGTCAGCTGGCCTTTGGATGCCAGGCTGGCAGCGCCTACCCCTTCTTGACGATGCAGGAAACGGGGGAAGTGCCTGAGAGCGTCTACCGCTCCGGCTGGCAGGAGAGGGAGAGGTTTCTGAATCCTTCACTGTTCTTGGATCACGTGGTTTTCTTTTTTTCTTTTTGCTGTTTTTCCCTTTATTACATTTTTTGGGGTTCTGTTCTTTTTTTGTGGGCTGCAGAAAACCAGTCAGTTTCTTTGAAGCCCAGACCAAGAGTTGCAGAGTGAACATGTTGCGTCAACCAGGGTCCGTGCCCATGCCAAGTCTGGAAATCATTCAGAGCTTTAAGAGCTGAACTCAGACGCACGCCAGCACTGCGCTAGCAGGCATTTGCGAAACTGAACACTAGAGCGCGGGCCTTGTCGGAAGCAACGTCCAACAATCACTTGCATGTTTCTAGGCTGCGGTGGCAACTCAGATTGCGTAGTCACTGGATTCCATGCCGCTCAAGCTTGCCAAACTGAAAGCATCTCCTCAGAGCTCAGATAGCTCATCCCCAAGCAGCCAAGAAAAGGCGCGTGCTAGAGCTCTGGTCACGCGTTGCGCTGGTCGGCTTACGTCCCCAAGCAGCCCAAGGCGCCTACAGCGCTGCACATGCAGAAAGGGATTTTGGACGTAGCAAAAGGTCTGGTCGACATGAAAACACAATTGTCGACTGGAAAGTAGTTGAAATAATAAAAGCAAATAGTAGACATAGTAGAACGCAAAGGTGCGGTCGACGTGGAAAACAAATCGACGTGGCAAAAGGTTTGGTCGACATGCGAAAACAAAAATACTCGACACAGAAGAAAAGAGGCTGGAACGTAGTAGAAATAGTAGAAATAGATAGAAATAGTAGGATGCAAAGATGTGGTCGACGTGGAAAAGGACATTTTCGACGTGGAGGAAGGCGAGATCAACATGAAAAGGAGTTTGACGTAGAAAAACAATATGAAAGTAAAAAATACGGTAGACATAATAAAAGTAGTAGACATAGTAAAGGTATGGTCGACGTGAAAGAAAGGATTTTCAACGTGGCAAAGGGTGTGGTCGACATGAAAAAGTAGATTTCTGACATAAACAAAAGAGTCAGGAAAGTAGTAAAAACAATAGAATGCAAAGATGCTGTCGATGTAAACAAGAGGATTTTCGACGAGGAAGACAGCGCGGTCGACATGGGAAAATGATTTTTTGAACGTGCAAAAATGACTTCCGACATGGCATGGCGAAAATATTTCCTTGCTATGTTGACCGAAATTGCTGGTCAACGTGCAATAATTCTTTTTTGTTCTGAGTTCGTGATAGCATTGCCATTTTGTTTTGCCATGTTGACCGACGCCCTCCCCCTCTTTTGGTCACGCGTTGCACTGGTCGGCTTACGTCCCCAAGCAGCCCAAGGCGCCTACAGCGCTGCACTGGTCATGCGTTTCTATGGTGCAGAAACGTGCCGTGGCATGGGCGGCTTACACAACTTGGAACCAACATGTTACATGTTTGACAACCAGCCGCATGTTTGTTTTGTGGCCATCAATTGTAATTCCGCGGGATTTTCATTGGCTTGACACGGAATCCTGAAGTTCAATGAGCAATCCTGGCGCAAACATCTAGGAGCCTAGGAGCGTCTCAAATAGGCGTGGGTTACCTAGAGATCAAGCACCCCCCACAGCTAGGGCTGTTTGAGGCGAAACGCATTTTGTTAGCACTCGGAATATCCACGTTTTCTTTGAGTGAATGCACCGTGAACGATTCCGCGCAAAACCAAGAGTAGGGGAGCGCTGAACTCGCAGAGGCCAAGCAAAATCGGTTTAGCTTGTGTGTTCACGTTCTCACGCAAATTTGTGGCAGCCGTCCATGTTACGCAGGAACAAATTGTGTTTAAATGTGATAGCGCACCGGCTTGGGCTGCCCACCGCGAGCCAACATCGCAGAACAAAAATGTTGAGATGTTTGTTTTCTTGGCTAGATGCGGTTCCTTTCACCTCAGCGAGGCCGAGAACCAGTTTGCACAATCATCACAAGAGCAACGGTAGCATCGATTTGGCTATGGCCGGGCGCAAATTAGATTGCTGACTTGCTTCTCCAAGGCCTTGTGTTGTGCTTGCTTTATTTTGGAAGATGGTGCGCAGCCTGAGTTTTTCCGTCTCCACACCTGCGGAATCTTGGCAAGATCTAGTCCGCCGGTGCCAATTTTACGGACGTAGCAAACATGCGCCCATTGCCAATTTGATGGCACAACCATTGCAAGGTCAGATGAATTGCTTAGTCTATGTTTCGCGTAAGCTGGCATATGCTCTATGTCATAAATCTAAAATTACTGTAGTCGAGAGGGCTCTTACACCTCCAGACGGAATTGTGCATGGCGCAGCAAGCAAAAGAATCTGTTCTCTTGGCGGAAACAAATTGCAGCGCGGCGAAGACCCTTCCTTTTGCAAAACTTCGGGAAGGGAAGTCGTGGCCGCAGGAGGCCCGTGCTTTTTCTTTCTAGCAATGCGATTTTGCATTGAACCACTGCTTTTTTCCTCTGGATTGTGAGGAGTTTGTGGCGTACTCCAAGCTTGTGGGCAGAGACGGCAAGGAGTTCCAAACGATGCCTCCTGCAGCTCAGCAGGCGGGTTGAGCATCGAATCCTGCAAATTGCCAGTTCGGGTTGCGAAGGCCCTGGTTCCTTGCCCTCTGTTCTTTGGATGGCCCTTGCTATGCTTCTCTTTGCGACTGCATAACGTCGTACTTCACGTGATGCTTCTGGTTTCATCAGGTCATGATCGTTGTTGGCTGTGCAGTCCTCGACGTTGAATGCTGCCGCAGCTGCTACGGTGGCAAGCGCCGCCGCTGCTGATGATGATGATGCCGCAGCAGCTGCTACTGTTGGTGCTGTTGGTGCTGGTGCTCATGCTCATGTTGCTGCTGCTGCTGCTGTTGCTGCTGCTGCTGCTGATGATGATGAGGATGATGAGGATGATGATGATGATTGTTGTGATGCATCACAATGTTTCTCTGGTAAACATCATTCGAACATGTTCCTTCTAGTTGCTTGCAGGGCTTGTAGTGACAGGATGGTTTCTGCCAGCTGACAAGTTTAAGTTCCTTTGAACTGCGCCAAGGACATCTTATTTGGAAACGGCGACTTTTGCGAGATGGTTTGAACTCAAAATGTAGGCAGCCAAGGACTTCTTATCACATCAGCAAGGATTTC